GAGCAGCACGTCGGGCGACGCCGAAGAAGAAACCCCGGCGCGCCCAAGGTAGAAATCTTCGAGTACGCGGCCGGCATACAGCGGCGCGCCGAGACGCAGTTCCGCCGCGACTGGACCTTCGGCTTCACCCTGTGGAACTACCTCTTCCGGACCATGGTCAACACGCAGCACAACGCCTTCATGTACTGCGTGCCCGACGAGAATAACCAACGCAGACCGCTGACCGGCAAGGAGATCCTGGACGGGCTCAAGGAGATCCAGCAGAAGCTCGTCAAAGGGCAGTACCACGACATGAGCAACCAAGTCAGGCCCATCAACGGAGACTTGAGCAAGGTGCGCTTCGCCGGAGTCGGCCCTGCAGCCGAGAAGGCACGCCGCGGAAGCTTGTTAAGTATTTGTTAAGAGCGAGTGCATCTAGCCATTTTATAAGACTCGTTAGCTGAGCATCTGCTGTCCCGCTTGTTGCAGATCCTGGCCAACACCGAAGCTCGCAGTCGGAACATACCGGGCACGCACGAAGTCCGGAACACCATGCGCCACCAGACCCACGCCAACCGCATCTGCCACGGCACGCCGCTCTTCGTGACCTTCCCCCCCTCCGAGCGGGACAACACGCTGATGCTGCGCTTGGCTCGTGCGCGGCAAAACGACCCGAGCCTCAGCGAGGAGACCGAGACCAACCGAGCTGCGCAGGGCCGCAGCAAGCCCGAGCTGGACGTCGAGTTCTACAGCCTGAGCCCAGAAGCATTAGCCGCGGAACTACCGCCCTACGACGACCGACGAGCAATGCTCACAAAGGATCCTTTGGCCTGCGCGGACGGCTTCCGCACCCTGGTACAGCTGGCACTGCGCCATCTCTTCGGGGTCCGCTACTGCCCCCGGTGCCCCGACTGCGGCAACGCCAAGGAGGCGTGCATGGACGCCTTCGGCAGCAACGCCATGGCTTGTGGGGGCATCTTCGGCCGGGTCGACGCCGTCTACGGGTCCATCGAGTGCCAGAAGTCCGGGGTGCTGCACATCCACTTCCAGGCGGGCTCTCCCGAACCCCAACACCGATCACGCCTCCAAACCCAATCGCAAATGCACTCCACGCAGGTCTTCGTGGAGTGCTTCCACCAATTCAAATCCCTCTCGGAGCTGCAAACGCTGGACTCGGAGCGGAAGGTGGCCCTCTTCCAGAAATACTGCGCCTACACCGCGCACGCGAGCCGAACTATCTACGAGAACCCAGAGGAATGGGAGCAGAAGCGCGACGAAACGGAGAAGCAGTGGCCCGAGTACCGCCACTCCACGACGGCGCTGAGCCGCCCAAGCTACCAGAGCGCGAACGACTCCGTCGACGGGCAAACCTGGCGAAAGCTCTACCTGCACGAGGACGTCGAGGTTCTCCAGCAGCTGAAGCAGCATCACGTGCACAACCCACCCACCCAACCCGGCGGTCCCCGCACGCCGCTGGACCATTGCCGAAGCAAGGAAGACCCCACCAAGTGCAAGGCGGGCTTCCCGCGAGACCAGCAGCTGATCGACACAACCGCGCTGCTGTGCAAGGGACTCG